TAGCCAGATATGGCAAAATCTTGTTTGGCTCTAAACTAAAAAATTGATTTGACCTAGAATCTTCAAACCTGGACAGATACTGCATCTTAGGTAAAAATTGTGTCACGCTTTTTACAGTAGGGTAAAAAATTTTGATAAAATTTGTCAGTTGTCATCAACATCGTCTTTGGAGTTGTAAACTTTTTCACATTTTCATCTTCTTCTCAAGAACCACTGGGCCAATTTCAACCAAACTTGGCACTGAGTTTCCTTAGGTGAAGGGGATTCAGGTTTGTTCAAATGAAGGGCCATATCCTTTTCCAAGGGAAGATAATTAAGAAATAGTAAAAATTGTATGGTACATGTATCATTTTAACATCTTCAAGATCCAGTGGGCCAGAAAAAATGAATCTTAGGTAAATGCTTTTTGACATAGTGGAAATTCAAGTTTATTCAAATCATGACCCATTGGGAAGGATGGAGCCACAATGAGTGATCAAAGTTTTACAAAGGAGTGTATAGAAAAATCTTTAAAAATCTCCTTCTCAAGAATAGCAAAACCATGATTGGTCATATTCTTATGAAAAAGTCATGACTAGTCATATTTTTATGGAAGCATACTCAGGTAGATTAGATATAAGTTGGCTCAAATTATCCCCCCCCCCCCCCCCCATCCCCAGGGTAGATTGGGACCACAATTGATTATCGAAGTTTTACATAGGAATATACAGGAGAGAAATCTTCTTCAGTACAGCAAATCTGTGGTTAGTCATTTTCATGTGAAAGCATCAACAGGTAGTGTAGATTCAAGTTTGTTCAAATTATGACCCTCAGGGATAGGGAAGGACCACAATGGGTCATCAGAGTTTTACATAGGAATACATTGAAAAAATCTTTGTTTTAAGAACAGGAAAGTCATGACTAATCATATGGATATGGAAGCATCCTCAGGTAGTGTAGATTCAATTGGTTCAAGGTATGACCCCTTGGGGGTAGGGAGGGGCCACAATGAAGGACCACAGATTTACATAAGCATAGATAGAAAAAAATCTTTAAAGATCTTCTTTCCAGGGACAACAAAGTCATGATTAGTTATATTTATATGGAAGCATCATCAGATAGTGCAGATTCAAGTTTATTCAAATCATGACCCCTCAGGGTTGGGTGGGGCCACAATGGGCGATCAAAGTTTTACACAGGAATACATAAGAAATATCTTTTGAAATCTTGTTCTCAAGAACAGCAAAGCCATGATTGGTCATATTTATATGGAAGCATTCTCAGGTAGTGTAGGTTCAAATTTGTTCAAATCATAACCCCAAGGGGTAGGGAGGGGCCACAATGGGCAATCAAAGTTTTACGTACAATTTGTAGAAAAAATGTTTTCAAGAACAGCAAAGCTATGATTTAAGTTAAATATATATGGAAGCATCCTCAGGTAGTGTAGATTCAAGTTTGTTCAAATCATGACCCCTTGGGGTAGGGGGGGCCACAATGGGAGATCAAGGTTGTACTTAGGAATATATAGGAAAAATAATACAGTCCCTGAAACGTTCTATTTTCCCATTTTTCCTTTCGCTCACTGTTCGTTCACAGTTCATTCAGCGTGCATTCACCGTTCACTCTCCGTTCACAGTTTTGCGTTCAGTGTTCACCGTGCGCTCACCATGCGCTTGTGTTCACTGTTCACAAAGCGTTCACTGTTCGCCCACCGTTCGTTCACTTTGCGTTCACCTTGCATTCAGCGTTCACTCATCGTTCAGTCTTAATTGTCATTCGGAAATAGTGAAAGGACTTATCTTTTTAAAGGGAAAAAAGATCTTGAAAGTAAGGGTTTACTGGTTTAAGGTATCATTATTTTCTGGAGAAAATAAATTATCTCCAATATTTATTATTATTTTTTAACTTAACTGTTGATTTAATATTTATTAAATTAATCTTCAAAATAAATGTTGTTGGAAGTATATTCATTTAGTATGATGCTACAAGATTAAATTTAAATATGGCAACATACATGTATGGATACGGCGCTGCAACATTTTGATATTATGTCAAAGACCACAAATCATTGATAGAGAGATGATAACCCAGGTCGCTTTATTAACCAACTGCTGAATAATTACCAAAATATTCATTTCTAACACATTTTTTTTTTGTTACTATAGAAATACATGTACATGTTACAACTATTTCTGAGAATTATAGATAGTATTACAGATTAAATATCTACGGAGCGATGTACATTGATGTGTGGTTAAAAAAATATTTATTTAAAAATTACAATACACTAAAATACACTAAAAATGAATAAGTAAAAACAGCAAGTTTTTGGTGGAGCTGGAAGGGTATAAGGTTTTCTTCTTTACAAATTAAATATAGTCAAAGTCTACTCTATTGTAAGAGAGGAAAAATAATCCCTCATCACTGTAACTGTATATATGTTTACCATTTGATACAGTTAAGAGACCCCCCCCCCTCCCCTTCCCGAATCTGCCACTTTGTTAGTGTTTTCGAATTCAGTATATTTTAGTTCACATTAAAAATGAAGTCAATGCATTTTGTGACATTAAAATTTCAGTTTATAAATGTTCATGCATCTAAGATAGTCATTAAGCAATGGTGGTTCAAAATACACCTGCCAATGGTGGTATTTGAATTAGCAAGGATCAAATTCATGCGGCTTAATTATTCCAAATGTTTATGTCCAATGCATTTTATTTATTTATTTATTTATTGAGCAATGTTTTAAATCAGATCTAGAAATGATCAAAAAAGTGTTTTAAACTGCTTGGGAAAACTAGGTCTTTGCTCTGAGCGTGACTAAACTTTTACAGCAGCACAGTGTCAAATGATTTTGATTGAAAGCTAGGACAAGCACATGGACTTCGTGTGAACTTGAAGCAGGAAAAAAAAATGATTATGACTGCCAAACAAATTGATTTGTTGATAAAGAATTGTTTTTTTCACTGCTTGATATATTTAAAAAAAAATAAAACTTAGGAATTTTTGCTTGATACAGGTGCATTTGGGGAGGGGGGGGGGGCTAAGACGGAATCTCTCTCTCTCTCTCTCTCTCTCTCTCTCTCTCTCTCTCTGTATAATTTGTCTGTTTATATATAAGTATAGCAGCATATTACTGAAATATCAATTACTGAAATTCAAATCTATAACAAATAATATGAATGCCTCATTGTATCCTCTTGTACACATGTCATGACGGGAAAGGGGGGGTGTCTAAAGTAGAAGTCTGTTAAAAAATTGTTAAAAATAAAAATTTCACATAAAAATATAATTGCATGAAATTTAGAATACCTGTGTATTTATGTAACACAGCCACAGACCTTTGTAAAATATTTTTAATTGTGATTTTTTTTTATTATTTTACACGGAATTGCCTCTGTATGGAAACACTAAACAGCTTAATTTAAGCATGATATATATAAGTGCAGAAAATATTGTAAGAAACACAATTAATAGGCATACTAAATCTGCATTTTCTTCCGATAATGTGGAAACGTTTATTTATTTATTTATTTGTTCTGGAAGTGTTCAAAACAATTTTTAAAATGGTATGCTAATGTCGGCACTCCAAAATTAATTTATTTAGGAGATGTATTGATGTTGTTGCACCTAACAATAGAATAAAATAGAATGCATACAATGCAAGGAAAAGATCGGAGACATTCCGAATAAATCATTCATCTTGCCTTCACCGTTCATTCACCGTTCACTTTGCGCTCGCGTTTGCTCTCCATTCGCGTTCTGCGTTCGCTCACCGTTCACCAACCGTTCACCAAATTGTGTTCAGCATTCACACATCGTTCTCTCACCATTCGCTCTGCGTTCATTCAGCATTCATTCACCATTCGCTCTGCATTTGCTCACCATTCAAGTGGGAAAGTAGAACATTTCAGGGACTGTATTCTTCTTTTCAAGTACAGCAAAGCCATTATTAGTCATATTAATTCAGAAGCATCCTCAGGTAGTGTAGATTCAAGTTTTTCAAATCATCCCCCCCCCCCTTTTATATTTAAACTATTCAAAAAACTCTGCTTTCCCTAGCCAAAATGCTCAGGGGAGCGATGTTGCCCATGGACCTCTTGTATTATCACTACTGGCAAGAAAGATGTGAAATGTTTGTTCATTGAAAACTTACTATCTGGAATAATGAGTCATTTTACAACCAAATATTACATTTTATAGTAGAAATGGACCATGTAGATGTGGAACACAAATTTCTGGATTTATGAGATGGAATAACTTGGAAAAAGTGGGTTTCTAAAAAATACTGTCTGGAAGATGAAGTTTTTTGATTACTAGTGATCTGATTAATGTGGTGTCGCTGTACAGTCCATTACAAGTCCCTTTCATCTGAGTGTCCTTCACTTTACTAAAAGTAGGACCATTTAAGATGGTCACCATCTCAACAATATCTAAGTTATATATTAAAATCAGTAGAGCTACTGTCCCCTCAGGTTTACTGAGTTTTTCTGGGTAGCATGAAACCTAAATATCTACTTTATCTACATACAAATTTCCTGTTATTGATCTTTATTTCAATTCTATAGCAACTCTCATTGAAAAGAGATAAGAAAAAAAATACTCTGAAATGTTGAAAGTCAAAAAGTACTGTAAACCAATTATTATTTGTGTCATCTTTTATTCACAATTCGTCAGTTTGAAATCAATCTGCGACGATTAATTTTCACAACTGAGAAAACATTCTTCACAAATACAAAGCAAAATAAATGGTTCAGGCGAATAATATTCGCGAGTTAAAGAAGGTCGCGAAACTCGCAGATATTTCTCGCAAGTGAATAAAAGTTGGTTTACAGTAATTGAAACACATTCTTCCTTTTTCTTTGATTTAATGGAGAATCTGATGCAGTTTATCTGAGAGAAAAAAGTCAAATACAAAACAGAATTGTAATAAAAGTTGTTTTCTCTTATAAATGTTGTAGAGTTACAGTTTTGTCAGACTTCTGTATTTTATGTTTATTTTTGTGTTTTTTCCTTGACAGTTACAAAAACAAGAGAAGAGACCCAACCTGAATTGTAGAGATGCATATGGAAATTCTGCTCTCCACATTGCTGCACAAGCTAATCAAAAAGAGATAGCAGTGCTATTGATTCAAAGTGGGCTAGCAGCAGACCTCAAAAATGAAAAAGGTGAGAAAATCATAAATTTAAAGTATACATATTCTTAAAATATACATCATGATAACTTATTTAAACTCTAAACTCTAAATCAAGGTTTGGCATGATGCTGAATTAACTTGGTCAATATTTGTCTAATAATTATATTTTTACAGCATTCTTTTTGCTATCTGTATGAATTACCACACAAAACATTCTGCCAAATTATCAATCTTGCTAAAACAAGCTATGCATAAAGTATTGAAATGAAATAAGAAACAATTGATCCCTGATAGTAACTTTGCAATAGGCATTGGAAATAAATTTTGTATCAATTTTACAGACAAAATCCCTATTGACTTTGCTCGGAGCAATGAAATGAAACAGATTCTAGGAGTGAGACCAGTAAAAGAATTCACTCTTCACCCCCACAGATGTGAGGGGGTTCTCTTTAAGGTAGGTTATCTTGTGCATATTCACATATATTTCCTAAGAAACACCCCTTTTTAGCTCACCTTAGCCAAGGCTCAAGCAAGCTTTTCTGATCAAAATTTGTCCAGTGACTGTCATCATCTATTTTGTCATAGTCATTGTTATAGTCATGAACTTTTCACAATTACTTCTCCTCCAGAACCACTGGCAAACTTACCACAAATCATTCTTGGGTGAAGGGGATTCAAGTGAAAGGCCATGCAATCTTTTATTGGGAGATAGTTAAGAAATAGTGAAAATTTGTTCGGTTCATTTAAAAATTTTATCAATGATCACTTGGCCAGAAAAGATGAAACTTATGTGAAAGCTTCCTGACATATAGTATAGATTCAAAGGAAGAATTCCCATAACAATGGTCAGTGGCCCCTTTTTGTTCCCCACTTTCACTGAAAGTGGGGAACATTAATTTGGGCCATTCTCTCTGTCTGTCTGTCTGTCTGTCATTCTGTGTGTAAAACTTTAATTCTAAGAATGCTAAGAAAGACCTCTTTTAATTGTAAAGTGAAAAGGTCAAAAGTCAAGAAATTCATTCTGTTTGTGTGTAACACTTTCATTTCCAAACAATATCTTAAAAAAGCTTTCAAATTGAAACTTTTGCTATGAAATCTTGTATCACAACTCCCTGTGGACTAAGAAAGTATTACAAAAAATACTTTCATATTTTTTAATTGCCAGGTAAACTTGTAAATAATGGACAAATAAAATTGAGACACAATACCTTATCTGTGTACATTAAGTCAGAACAAGAGAGACGAATGTTAGAATTTACTATATATGCAGAAGCTCTATTATTTTTAGGTCACCTGAGTCACTCATATATTCTTCTATCAGTTTATTTTGTTTTGTTTCATACTTCTATGGATCCTTCAAAGTATTGTATTTAATTATTCCCTGGTGACTGTTAAGGCCCTTGGGCATCTTGTTATTTATAAAGGTATTCTTTTGAATTTCAATTTTAATATTTCTTCCAGAAATCAAGGTTTCTTGGATTTAAGCCAGTCTTTGTGGTTTTGGAAAGGGGAGTCCTTTCTTACTTCAGGAACAGGTACTTCTTTAACTAATACTTTTGGGTCACCTGAGTCACTCAGATGACTTATTCCTATCTTTTTTTTTTTTGTCATCATGCGTTGAGTGTGACTTTTAAGCATTTTGTCCAAAATGGATGAATCAATATCAACCAATTTTAGTAGTGTAGAGTTTGCCTATAAAATTCATGGTTTATTATTGTAGAAGTAAGAATGCTTATTGGGTGGGAAACTCAAAGCATAAAACCATTTCTAAACAAACTTACGCAAAATAGATTTATTTTTTACTTTGTCCAAAAATGCTGAGATTCTGTATTATGTTTTAAAAATTTTGGCCAAAAAATTGCCCCTCACATTTTTCCCAGTGCTGATTAAGATCAGACACCTGTGTAGAGTCACTGTAACACCTATGGTCTGACAGAATCATTAAAACAAAAACATTGGAAAGGAAACATGTTTAAGACTTTAGTTTATCATTGGCATAAACTGTTCTTCTTTCGGATGAGACCTTAAAAACCAAGGTATCGTGTGCGACCTTGACATGATAAAGAACCTTGAGTGCTCTATGACTCTGAGTGCTGAGTATATATAGGTCTACATTTGAATCTCTTCACGGGTATATGGTGATGTTTCTATATGAGTGAAAAATTCTCAAATGAGATAAAAAACAACATACAGTGCAGGGAACTAATTTTGTTACATAAACCAGCATTAGCATAAGCATTAGTAGCATCAGGATCGAGCTAGCATCAGGATCAGCATTTAAAAAACAGCATTACCAGGATCAGCATCAGCAAGCATAGGATAAAACCAGCATTGACCTACATAAAATCAGCATTATCCTACTAGCATCAGAAAATCAATGAGTTTTAATTCAGTAAAAAATTAAAAAAGAAAGAAAGAATATTGGTTAAAGTATTCACATTATTGATACATAGTGAGATATTATGATCAAATAATTTTTAAAGGCACTTTTATTGCTTTAAACGGCAATGCTGAAATTCATTATCTACTTCTGGTAGCATGATGCTACTTCTGGTAGCATTGACCTAATTATAAAACAGCATCAGGATAAGGATTACTAGCATTAAATCAGCAAACAAAGGAAGCATTCAAATCAGCAAGCAAAGGAAGCATTCAAATCAGCATCGATGCTGTAACAAAATTAGTTTCCTGCACTGTACAATCAATCATTCAACCAAGGTGAAAGCAAAGGAGCCACATGACCAGAAATTATTTTTGACTACATCACCTCAGTATTGTTTAAGTCAGTACAGAATGATGCTAGTCAAACTGTAAAGGAGATTTGACATTTGGGTAACAACAACACACAAATTTTTATTGGAAAGTTCAAGAAAAAAGAGAATTTAATTTACAGAATGTTAACAAGTGATGAATGAAAAAGAAGAGTTAACACTGCCAGCGCTTGTTTCTATGTGAGATAAGAAGCTGAAGTGACGTTAAAATGATGTAGTGATAATCTCTGCAGAGTACTCAAGGTCACTGGACATACGCAAGTTTATAATTTCACTGGGACTTATCTGATGATGCTATTAACTAGAAATTTTGCACATTTGTCTTATTTATTCTGGATAAAATATTGGCAAATACTTATGAATAGAACTCTTTCTTTTATGGAGTTAAAGGGATTGTCTCAATAATTTCTAAACAGCCCTTGTATGATTCCCAGACATTGTATTTATTATAATGGCTGTCAATGATATATATATTATGCTGGATCCAGTATGTGTATTACAATATTTTATCAGTAAAATGAATATCCTAATAAAGGGACTCATCTGAATCTACTGCTAAATAACTAATCATTGTGGGAATCGAATTTCCCTTGTTTTTATGGTATGGAGAGATCCAAAATATCATGTCCTCCACACAAAGTATGGTTTCAGTACAAATCTGGCCTTGTATTTTTTTGAAACGTGAAATTGTTGTGAAAAATTAAAACTCTTGCTTCCTAAATTGTTCAAACTCCATGTAGTAAGATCATACAAATAATTTTTCTTATGTGACCTCCTAAATACCAATTGTGATGTCATGAACTTGTGTATTTTCTTAAAAAGTTGCAGAAGACATCAATTTTCAGTGGAATTTTCTTTCAGATAATATAGACCACATGCATCACCCACAAAGATTTTAAGAAATGTGATTTCTCAAAGATTTTTATGCAACATATCTTAAAATGGAAGTGGGTGATGGCTGTGGACACTTTTTCCTAAGGAAATTAGCCCCATAAATGAGTCATTTTGAGGCTTTTTCTGTTTAAAACAGAGAAATATAACAAATTCATGATGTCATGTTTCCAGAACAGTCCTCTTTTATGTTAAATTCTTTCATGATTTATCTCTTTCATGTTTCATATTCATATTTAAGCAAATTTCAGTACTTTTTTGAAAATGTCAAATTCTTAGGGCATGGTAAATCCAAAACTGTATCTTCTTCTTTCAAATTAAGACAACTCTATACTTCTTTAACGGTTACCATGAAATCAAATCCCCACAAACCAATATTTTGAACTCACCTAGCTGAAAGTTCGTTTGAACTTTATTGATCATATTTTGTCTGTTAATTGTCTGTAAATGTCAGTGTCATTGTTGTCATCTTTGTTTGAATAATGCCCCCTAAGGGGAGGGATGGGGCAACAATAAAACTTAGATAACTTTTTTATTCATTGTTCACAAAATGAATATTGTAATTTGCAGTTTAATGCAAAGAAATATAATGCACATCAAACTAATGTGAATTAAATTGCATTTACACAATAGTTAATGCAAAGTAAACTAATGCACATTAAAATTCTAATTTTTACAGTAAGGCTATTATGGTGTCATTTGCAAGTCATGTCACCTTATGCAGAGCAGATGTACATTTGACGTAGTGTCATAGTGTCCATACACATTTTTAGCTCTTCTGAGCCAAAGGCTCAAAGAGCTAATGCTATGGCCATTTGTGCGGTGTGCAGTGTGCGTAAACTTTTTAGAATATGGGCCATAACTCAAGAACCCCTTGGCCAATTATTGTCAAATTTGTCACATGGTATCCTTGGCCAAGGGCTCCCTTTTATACTAAAACTAGGGTTGTGACCCTTTAACAAGGGGAGATAATTAGGAAAATAGAAACAAAAGTACTGGTTGCTAAAAAATCTTCTTCTCAAGAACCACTGGGCAGATTATCACCAAACTTACACAAAAGGATGAGGATATGTTGTAGATTAACAATTGTTCAAGGCATCAGCCTGGGGCAAAGGGCGTGGTCTCAAGGTCACTTCAAATTTGACCAAAAATTACATTTTAATAAAATGTTGATATTTTGCTTACCATAAGGACTAGGATCATCAAATCTTGTCAGTTGATGCATCTAAGGACCTCATATCATGTTGACTCAAAAGTAGGTCACGGTGACCTACTTTTAAAATTTTGCGGCCATTATTTTTCAAAATGATTTAGAGGCATATTTTGAACAATTTAAGGCCTATGATCATCAAACTTTGTCAGTTGATGTATCTTGGGTCCTCAAAGTACGTCAACTAAAAAGTAGGTCACCTTGACCTCCTTTTTGAATTTTATGGCTAATCTTTTTCAAAACAATTATGGTCAATAATTCAGATACTGAGAGGTTTAGAATCATGAAATGTTGCAAGATGATGCATCTTGAGGCCATAAAACATATTTATTAAAAAGTAAATCACAGTGACCTACTTTTTGAACTTTGCAGGCATTCGATTTCAAAGCGTTTCAGAGGCATAATTTGGACATTTTAAGACCTATGATCATAAAACTTTGTAAGTTGATGCATCTTGGGTCATCACAGTAAGTTGACTGAAAAGTAGGTCACCGTGACCTACTTTTCAATTTATATGGCTATAATTAAATATTTCAGGTACTAATTGGCTTAGAATCATCAAACTTTGTCAGTTGATGCGTCTTGGTTCCTTGAAGAACAACAACTGAAAAGTAGGTCACGGTGACCTACTTTTGAAAATTTATGGCTTTAATTAAATATTTCAAGTACTTATTTGCTTAGAATCATCAAAATTTGTCAGTTGATGCATCTTGGGTCCTTGGAGTATGACAACTGAAAAGTAGGTCACGGTGACCTACTTTTGAAATTTTATGGTTATAATTTTAAGGGAGCCGACTGGGGTTTTATTGTGTGAAAACTACTATAGAGAAACTCTTTAATTTTATACCATATGTACCTTACATTGACTTCAGTATGCATGCCAAGTTTAGTGAAAATCTACTGTCTGGTTAAGTTTTAGGGACCATCTCAAAATACAGGTACATTTACTATAGGATTATATAGGAAATTACCATTTTTTCGCACTTCGGAGCAAATTATAAAAATGCTCAGATTATATTATTTGATGGGTAATACTATATTGTACATTTTGTGCAAGAAACACAAAATTCTACCGGTTGGTTTCCAGAGGGGGCATCTCAAAATGTCAAAATTCATGATATTTTCCTATTTTTATGGAGTACAACAAAACATGACAGATACCACAGCTTTACATAAAAAATAATAAATATGATTGTTAGATTCTCAATTTCCTATGTTTAGAATTTCAAGAGCATGTATTTTGTACTTTTTATTTTATGGCATAATTAATGACCCGCTTAAAGAACTTCGGTTATTCATAACGTCAAAAACACACTATTACGACGTCTATCTATACCCATCATTTGAAAAATCGTTTAAAAAATCAGTTATTTAAAAACGTAATTAGATTTTTTAACCTGAGATTTCCTAAATTTGTTAATTTTTATAAATTATGTAAAAATAGTTGCTTTCAAAGAGTAAATACGCTTTATTTTACTATGCTGCGCGAAGTATTGCGCAATGAAAACCCTTAAAAAATATTTTAGGTGTTAATTGGCTTAGAATCATCAAACTTAGTTGCTGGGTCCTCAGAGAATGACAAGTGATAAGTAGGTCATCTGACCAACTCTCAGGTACTAGTTGGCTTAGAATTAATTTTGCTATTATGCATGCATCAAAATTT